CAGACCCCCCCCCCAAATTCCCAGATCCCTTCTCTGAGCCAAAACTGTCCTGTAACTCCCTTCTGTCACCTGATTTGACACCTCATCAGCTAATAACCAAGCCCTTTGTGAGCTGTACTGGCAGAACACAACCAACACTGAACATCAGTGCTCTCAATAAAAAACTTAGGCTTTAACTTATATGATTTTCAAGACACTATTCTACTGAATTTGCTTCAAAGAATAAGATACACGCTGGGCTGCTGGCTTCTACACAGCCACCCTTCGTTTTCCTCCAGGCCTTCGTCCCTCTTAACCTTGCGAGCCGGAAAGAACGTGTGTGAAAATGAAAGGTGTGTGTTGAGGTGAAAGAGCTTAAGTTTCCTTCGCTCACAGAGGTGGACTACGTTTGTATAATCTCAGGGAGCGAATTGGTGAAAGTCTAATTTTCAGGCGGAAGCTTAATCTCGCTCAGACGTAACACTTAATCAGCGATCGCGGCAGCAGACTAGCGGGGTCCCGCTCACTGGCCGTCTCCGCGCCTCCTCCTGATCAGCTTTCACACCCCCCGCCCCCTCACACACGAGCTGCTAATGAGAATCAAAGCCGCCATAAACCAACAGCCACGCCCCAGGTTAGCTCTGGTTCAAGTGGCGGCCGAGCTAGCCTCGTTTGACACCGTGCTCGCTCCGCATCGCGCGGCAGCCCATGAATCAAAGGCCTTCAAAAGAAACCTGCTCCGCTGCAGAACTCATTTATTTGGCCAGCTTGCTTTCTAGCTCGACTGAAGTCTGCAGCTCTAGACGGAGCTTAGTTACCTCCATGTGCTCGCCAGCACCCCCTGCAGCGCCCAGCTTTCCATCTGCAAAGCCTGCAACAGTGCGCCAGCTCCTATTTTTAGCTCCAAACAAAACGATCGGAGGCATTTCCCAGCCTCAGCACAATCATGGCATATTAATGACATACTGATTATAATTAAAACAAGAGGTGGAAAAAAAGTGGCGCGGTGTTTGATGGGCCTGAACGTGTGCGCTCTAATGGGACGCGAGACTGTTCGGAGACTTTGAAAGGTGAGGCGAAAGCAAATCGATTTTTGAGCCATTTCGTAATTAACGGAATGTGCACTGAATTAGGGTAAACGACTGTCTAGAGAAATTGAAAATATTGATTTTAATTTACAAAACATATTTCAGCCCCTCGGTGCCCTCACCAAAGACAGACCATTTAGGTCTCGCCACCACCTATGGTTTCCTTTTTTCTGTCTCGCGTTGGTCCTATCATCATAAAATCACGCTATTCTTTATCGTAATGGTGACAGGAAGGTCAAGGCCGGGACAGGCGAGGCTGATGACGACTGGGAAAAGGAAGTGAAAGAGTTCTGTTTTCTCCTCCTCCAGTGCCCTGCTCGGTTTCAAGGCCTATAAAATGAAAGCGGGCCCCCGAGGCCTGCAGCCTTGCTTGATCACACTGTTTTCATAGATGCGCTCTGTGTTTGTGCTCGTGACAACGGAGTCTACAAGCCCCTCGCCATTGGGGTAACACGCGCAGACACACACGGTGTGAGCCGGGCTCTTTGGGCGGCTGGAATAATGGCTCTCCGTCGGCTCTGCCAGCGCTCTGAGACTGTGCCAAGGCCCGTCCCACAGAAGCCCACAGATTAAGGTCACTCTTTATACACTCCGAAACCACTGAAGCCGACAAATGGCAACCTTTTCATCTAGTGCTTTTTTTTAAGTTTCAAATAATACAGCAGTTTAAAGGCAAACCTTATTCTGTATTCCCCTCGTTTTTTTCTTTGTTCAGGCACTGTATTTTCATGGTTTGTGTCTACGCGACTGAAGTGCTTAGTCCTGGAGTACACTCAAATAAATGAACCAGAAGGGCTGTTTGACTAACCGACTCCAAATATGTCAACATTAATTGCAATTGCATTGTGTGTTGAGGTAGAAAGTCTAAGGCCTGCAGTACACAGTACTTTATGCATGTTTTTTTGGGGCAAAGCAATAGTTTGAGTTCACACTGGCGGCCTTCCCTGCTGAGCCCCCCCCCCCATGCCATCTAATCTAGAATATGTCATAAGGTACTGTTTACCCTGTTGAAAAAACATCACAGACCAGCTTGAATTCAATTCTGCTCTGGTGCTGGTTTAGCTTGTCACCCAGCATCCTCATGCTGGTTGACCAGCATCCAAAATACAACATATCGCTGGTGTAGGAACACCTCGCATCTCTATTTTTGTAGTTTTTCAGTTATTGACATAATTATTGTCATAAAATATCATTAAAATAATAAAATTGTCATAAAAAATGCTTGTTGCCCTTTACATGGTGTATACATTTCATGATGAATGGTCCAAAATTACTTGGAAAAAAGTCAGGTTCCACTGACTTACATTAAAATTAAGGTATGTTTTTTCTTTCTCCTGTAAAGTTACCATTTTGGAGATATGAGATTTTGTTCCGACAGCAGCGATATGCTGTTTATGCTGGTGACCAGCTATGCTGGTCTATGCTGGTTTTTCTAGTAGGGTAGTTACTACAGTGACAGCCTCTCGGTTTAACACCAGCTTATTTAAAACATTATTTATTTAAGACCTGGTTTCACAGAGTGATATGAAATGTGGTCTAAAAGTGGTATAACATGATATTAGCTAGCTAGCTAATACCTGAACTGTGCTTTACCCAAACAGCTCCCCAAGAATCTGACATTTGAGTAAGCTATCTACCTACATAGCAGCATTTTGGCGAGCAAACAAGCACATTTTGAATAATGACTAAAAATGTTTTTCGAACTCTGACTTTCACATGAGTAATGTACGTTGGTCGGAGCGGGTTTCTTGTGATTCTGCGTGTCAGAAAGACATGCTCTGAGTTACATAGTATTAGGAAAATAGTATTTTCAGTGGTAGTTCAGTTCTTTCATCATTTGAAGTATTCTACTGACTCAGAAGTGGGTAATACAGCAAAAACATAGCAACATTATACTTATGTCCATAATACATTACAATATTTTCAATTTCTGAGGTTGGTGAACAACTTTGGAACAAACAAAATGCACCAATAAAACAGTGTTACGGGGTTATGAAAGGATCAGTACTCTGAGTTACAGTTAACTGGCTGTTGTTGTTTACAGGTTCTCTATAATTGGTCTAAATCTGTCATTTTTATGATCCGTGCCGTTGCTCAGTGTTCTAGAAGTACTCACAAAACACATACACCCAGAAAAGCACATTGTGAAGGAATTTATCACAATAACGACAATGTACGATCATGTCACACAGCCCTTTTACTCTGTTTGACTGGATGATAATGTGTGGCATAATCATAAACATCCATACAGTGATTTAACCTTTCAGTGCATAGAATGCAAAAATGTGGCTGGACCTGAGAAACACCATAATACAACAACAGAACAGCATCACGTGGTGTGATACACTTTCTAGAAGAACAAAATAACCTCCTGTTATAAAGAGGACACAACTTTGCAGCCTCCACAGTTCACAGACACTAAATGTGGGCAGATACAAACTGCGAACATGACTGTTCTTGTCTGATGGAAGATATTTTTTACAAAAAAAGTGCAATACAGATGGTGACAGATCAAAAACAAATAATAAAAGTAAGTTAGTTCAGCTCTCACACTCAAAAAATTAACCAAGTGGTTGTTTGACTTAAAGTGTATCGACATTTATTGCGGTTGCATTTACGCTGAGGTAATAAAATCTGTATAGAGTCTGCTGACTCGGCTCTGTTTGACTGAACATGTGGCACAGTTAAATGAATACTTTCTTATCACCGCTCACTGATTAATTACCCTGTTTCCACCTTGTGTGTGACATATGTGAACAAGATAAATTTCCCTGTCCAAGCTCCGCCCACAAATGTGTTCTGCTGTTGTGAGGCTGGACAAGCTTTACAGAACGCTGGTTAAAATCCCATTCAGCCTATCACTCAGCAGAGACCAGCTCTAACCACGGATGTTCACAGGTCTTCACAAAAATCTCGGTTTAGTTTAATCATTGGCTTCATTTGAATGTACTAAAAAACCTGTTGGGGTCAACATAGCAAATAACAAGTCTTTCCTTACAGAAACACTTTCAGTCTGAAGGACAGAATTGAAGTACAACACACATTAAATGCAGTGTTTAAAGGAAAAAGGCTAAATAACTTGAAACGACTAGCTACTCTGCTATCTAGCAAGCAGTTAGCTAATCCAGCTGAAGTTACATACGTTTTAAAGGAATGCAAAACTTCAGCTGGATTAGCTAGTGCGCTAGCTAGCTAGGACACGCTATATAAACTACAGACTAATCGTTTAGGCAAACTGTGCTAGCCAGTCGTTTCAAGCTGTTTTGCCTCTTTCCTTTACACCCTGCATTTACTGTGTGTAGAGCTCCAGTGCTGTCCATCAGGCTGAGTGTTGTTCAATAATAAAAGGCTAGTTTGAAGCCGTATTGAACCTGACGTGCGAGAGAACGGCACTGCGACATACCGTAGACAGGCAAAGACACACGTGTAAGGTTGGAACCGTAATACTTTACTCACTAACAGCATTAAGGTTGGCCTAATTTAATCAGTTTTGTTTGCTGTTTCTTTCTCAGGCTGAGCCATAAGTCTCAAGTTCAAGTTCAACAGTGCACAAACTATCACAGCACCTACGGCTTCTTTTATACCAGGCACGTCAAACTGGGGGCCTTCCGGGCCAAAACGCTGCCTTGCTAATTAGCCGATGAGCTGAATCAGGTGTGTTTAATGAGGCAGCGTGCTGAAGTCCGCAGTATTTCGGCCTGTGAGGACTGGAGTCTGACGTGTTTCATACAGTGATAGAAAACACGGTAGCTCGCAGAAAGCTTCAGTTCCACATGCTGATCCATTTTACTGACCAACGTGGACATGTCTGCTCAACGACTACTCCAGGGGCAGATTTGAAATCAATTAAAGCGGACCAAGATAAATGCTCTGAATCGATCGTCCACCGTATGCTGGGTAAGAGAGGATTAAGTTCAGTTAACGTACACTCACCTGCATAGAATTCTGGGCTGTAGACTGCACCCACAACAGGATTTAACTTCCAGCCTAAACGAAGAGAGTGAGAGAGAGAGAGAGAGAGAGACAGATAAGTGACATCAGTGTGTTGTGAGACCTTTCCGGATATCTGTTTGATCCCGCGCGGGAGAAGAAGAGGCGAGTCCTGGTTAACTAGAAGCGGCGAGGCGGGTGCTGGGTGCTGTTTTAATGATGCCAGTGGAGGGTCTACTGCAGCGGCCTGCTGCTGTCATGCGGAGCTGCGGTCGGACACTCAGCCTGACAGAACTCTCTCAGCCTCTAAGTCCTACAAATGGGCTGTCAGTGGAAAACCGCCGCAAGAAAAAAAAACTGACATCTCAGAGGTCGTCTCGGGTTTCGTCTTCCACTCAAACTTTGAAAAGAGGTTGGCTTCGTCATGTGAATGAGCCAGAATGCTTCATCTACTATTCTTTTCTTTTTAACCCCCTGAGCTCTGTGCTTATGTTTAGTAACTACATATACTACATGTTATAGAATTTGTAATTCTTAAGTTAAAGAAACGTATGATAGAAGACTCGCTGGAAGGTCCTGGCTATTTACTGATTCAACTGAAGGGTCGATATGATGGAAAATGTCCTCACTTTTTTAAATAAAACAGTTTTTATGGAGTTAAAAGTACCAAAACATCCCATTTACGTCATACAGTCCACACATAGAAACTAATCTGCCAAAACCTGTTTTGAGAACATTTCTCTTGTGCTGTCACAAAAATCAACACTTTGGCTGAAGTTATAAGGAGTGACTCACCCCAGACTGCTTTTCGAACAAGGCGCGATACAGGGCAGCCAATCAGAACAGATGTCATTTACATATATCAGCCTTAAAGGCACAGCAACTCTAATTGTAGGGCATAAAGAAAGGTTGGAAAATAGTCATGTAAAAAAGAATTATGACTGTTTTTGGCACATATAAACACAAAAATGCGCTAAGTGCACCTCAGGGAAAAACACAGGAAATTACACCCATCATGTACACTAACCCAAATGACACCCATTCATTATGTTTGCAGTGAACAGATGCAAAAAGTAACATGAAAAATATCTTCTCGCACATAAATATAAAGAACTTGCAGTATGATGGCAGAAGCAACCCTGCAAATGTTGTTGAAAGTGTTGCTTTTTGACATTACAGTTGTTTTATTCTCTACATATTTACGTATAATTTTATGCTCCTGACTCCCTTTGTGTTTCATGCAGTTAGCTGTTGTAAAATCATACTTTTATATGCATTTGCATATATGTGTTTTAATCAAAGCTTAACTTGCACTGTAAAAAAACTCACTGCAAAATTACTGTGAATTACTGGCTACTAGTCGCATTACTTATGTTAATACAATGGAATATTTTAGTATACTATATAAATAGTAGATAACAGTAAAATAGCAACTATATACTGTGACTTTACAGTTACAAGATTACTGCTGTAAAGGTTTTTTTATTTGAATGAAATCAAAGAAAAAAAAAACTAAAAAACTAAAATCAAAAAGTTTCACTGAACATACTTATTCACCATGTTTTGCATTGCATATGCACAGATTATTTACATTTATATTATAGTGTTATAGTGTTATATATTATAGTGTTATTACAGAATATATTACAGGAGGAGTTGATTTCACAATAAAATGGTGAATACAATTTTTACATTGTGAAAAATTAATTAACAGTGTGGGTTAACAGAGAAAGTTTACCATCGTAAAAATTAATCATAGTTGAATTTGTCAGGTTTTGTGCTGCTGAAACTTAGTCAGGAACTCTTCGCGAGTCAGTCTCTAAGTACCACCCGATCTGCACCAGAAAGCAGCATTAAAGGATGATTTGAATCATGTGTGCACCATGTGTGATGGGAAAACACTGGAAACTGTCTTTGCTCTCCTGGAGAAACATTCGTTGAATGTTATTTCATGTTACAACAAAAAAATAAAAGCGACTCGCTTGCAGATTTTACCGAAAAGTGGCTAAATGAGGCTCTTACCGTTTGCATATGGGTTGACCGTCTTTTTGTTTGTCATTACTCGTGCTGTTGCATTGTTAACCTGAGCACAAAGAGGGCAAAGTCAGCACGACTGACAGTGAAGCGACCGGCTTAAATATTTAAAAATGTTTAAAATTTATTGGCATGCATTATAGTAAGTATATGAACATTGTCCAAATAATTACAGTTGTCATAACAGACAGTTGACTTAAAGAAATCTCATTCGTCAATACTAGAAAAAGGACATACAAAGCAAATCAAAAATATTTACAATAGTTTCATCATAAAGAGAATCTTCGGCATGCGTCATCAAAATTACGACCGAGTTGAAAGAAAATGTGGAAAAGAAACACACAAAATGCACTCAACAAACAAAACGCTTATCTTACATGAAAGGACATGCAGTGGAAAGGGGAGGAACGACTGGGTTAAAGGAAAAGAGGAGGATGTCAGAAGGAAAAAAAAAAAGAAAGAAAAAGAGAAGGACAAACAAGTTAGGCATTGTGCAACATACACTAAACCTTGAGAGTAGGTAGGTATCATTGGAAAATAAATAAATAAATAAAGCAACATTTAGCATTCAAACACTCGGGCCAAGAGCCTTTCGTTTCATCGCAAGAAGAAGAACCGAAAAGAAAAGGAAGAACGAAAGAATAAAAGTCATTCCAGCTTGAACGACAGCTAACAAAAGGATAAAAAACAGGGTGCATTGTTTAACACAATAATGGAGTTAACAATCTGAGTAAGATGTGCACGAGTCAGTCCAGTCCAATCAGTGCCTCGCACGCAGCTGAATGTACACTCAAGTACACGTGTACCAAGAGAAAATAGCATCAAGGAACTCAATAACAAGTCAAAAAAAAGGTCACGTGGTTTCAGCGCGGAGTACGTGAGATGGCAGATGGATCTCTCCACTTACCATTCGGAATCACCGCCCCGCGCGAGAGTGTATTGTTACCATGGTTATTGAGAGTTTGGTGAGGGCTCTACGAGCTACCGTAGGAGAAGGAGGGGGGGAAATGAGAAGCAAAATATGCAATATCTTACTAAAAGGCGACACCACGTCATATCGGAATTTTTTTACAAAAAGAAATCAATATATCAACAAAGAAATTAACAAAATAAAAACAAAAACAAAAACAAAAAGAGAGAGTCTTTAAAAGTGGAGACAGTGTTGAGTGGGAATCAGTGGCGACAATACTCATTGTTTCTTCACAGTTGCATTTACGCAGTTCCTCTCTTAACCCATTCATGTCTGACCCAATTTAGTACGATCCCACAGAATCCGACTGGTCTAGAGTAATGACACCTTTGTCAGTTCAGCTTATACTTTGGATGAATCTATCACAACCTAACAGTATCCATTTGGACTGGATTAATTACTAAAATTGGTAATACTTTATAATAACCTGCCCTTTTAAATAGCAACCTATTCATTAGCTAACAGTTTGTAAACAATAGTTAATAATTAGAGCTGCATATGCATGAATATGACCTGAATATGTAAGCATATTCTTATTGGCGTACAGGCCAAGGCAAAAGCTCGAACAAATCGCAGTCCAACTACATTTTGTTGATTTTCTTAATAAAATAAATCAACGCATCCTCTACAGAGAACCCACCTAAATATGACATTAATTAAGTTATAATTCAATTTAATAAGTTATAATTATAATTTTAGTGCACAATTTCTACAACCCCATTTTCAAAAAAGTTGGGACACTGTGCAAAATGTAAATAAAAACAGAAGGCAATGATGTGCAAATCATTAAAACCCTGAATTTTATTGAAAATAGTACTAAGACAACATATCCAATGTTGAAACAGAGAAGTTTTTTTTTGAAAAATTAATGCCCTTTTTGAATATGATGCCAGCAACACATTTCAAGGTTGGGACGGGGGCCTGTTTACCAGTGTGCTGCATCACCTCTTCTTTTAACAGCACTCTGTAAGTGTTTGGGAACTGAGGAGGCACTGCTGTAGTTTTGAAAGTGAAATGTTTTCTTGTTCTTGATTGATTTAGGATTTCAGCTGCTGAACAGTTGGGTCATTTCATATTGCACTAAATGTTTTTAAAGGGTGACAGGTCTGACCAGTTTAGCACCCAAACACTATTACTGTGGAGTAATTCTGTTGTAATGTGTGCAGAATGTGGTTTGGTACTCTCTTGCTAAAATAAGCAAGACCTTCCCTGAAAAAGACGTCGTCTGGATGGCAGCATATGTTACTACAAAACATGTATATGTTGTTCAACATTAATGATGCCTTCACCGATGTGCACGTCACCCATGCCATGTGCAGTAATACACCCCTGTAACACTTCTCCACTTCCCTTCAGTCCATCTTAAATGAGCTTGAGCCCAGAGAAGGTGGCAGCATTTCTGGGTCCTGTTTGTATGCGTTTTTTTTTGTGCATGGTTTTGCATGAGTTTTAACTTGCATTTGTGGATGCAGTGATGAACTGTGTACACAGACAGTGGCTTTCAGATGTGTTTCCGAGCCCATGCAGTGATTTTCACTACAGAATCGTGTCTGTTTTTAATGCAGTGCCGCCTGAGAGCCTGAAGATCACGGCCAGCCAATATTGCTTTTTTCGGTGTTGCCCCTTGCATAAAGAGATTATTTCCGGATTCTCTGAATCTTTTAATGATATTATGTACCTTAGATGATGAAATCCCCAACTTCTTTTATAATGAGAAATGTATTCTTGAATTGTTGCAATATTTGCCCCGGCAGTCTTTCACAGAGTTGTGACCCCTCCCCATTTTTACTTCTGAAAAACTCAGCCTTACTATACTCTTTTTTCAGCCAATTAACTTAATTAGTTGTGAGATGTTCCACCAGGTGTTTTTTTAGCATTCCACAACTTTACCAGTCTTTTGTTGCCCCAGTCCCAACTTTTCAGAAATGTGCTGCTGGCATCAAATTCAATATTTGGAACATTGTCTTTGTACCATTTTCAGTTAAATATAGCATTTAAATGATTTGTACATCAATGCATTCTGTTTTTTATGTACATTTTGCACAGCGTCCCAACTTTTTCGGAAACAGGGTTGTATATATTTGAGTTTAACATAATGTAAAAAATGACTATGACTAAAGTCATAGTTTATGTTTTATTTGTTCCCTAATACGTTAAATTTAGCAAATAAACAGTAAATGTGAATTAAGTGCAGAAGTGTGTTCTCCGTAGAGGATGTGAGAGAAGCTCATTTTCACTAAGAAAATCAACAAAAACATGTCATTTCACTGGGGCGTCCAAACTTTTGCATACGACTGTAAATACAATTAACAATTATTTTAAAATCTAATTATTAATAACGGCTTGTTGACAATGCTTTAGTTATTTTATACTCATACAATACATTGAACACAACACAACAATCACATAATCATTAAAAATAATAGACAGTCTATTAGATGATGACTTAGTTGCTGTTTATTAGGGCCGGTTATCATAACGTGTTACGTAATGTATTGTAATATCTAGTATGTTGTCACTGTCTGAACCTCAGCTGTTCCTTTCTTTTTTTGACCTAATTTGAATATAACAGCTGTCATTATACATTGCGTCAAAATTTAATGATGTAAAGGCCAATAGAAATGGTCCGAATTGATTTACTGTTACGTTCACTTCCGATGAAAGTTGAGAATGTTATGTATGTTATGTATGTAAGGTTTTGTTCAGACAACGACAATATTAAAAAAAAATTATATTTTTTTAGCCAATTTTCTTCATTTTCACACTCAGAACATATGAACCAATGGAAATGGAACATTTTCAGATACAGACATTAATGGGTTAAGTTGTTTTTGTCTCATTTTGTTCTTTTTTTTAAATGTCTGTCTTGCGGTTGTAAAATGAGTGGAACGGGGAGTTGAGCTAGAGGAGGCTGGAGCAGCTGTAGGGGCCTTAATCACCTCCTCCTCCTCTGCGAGGCCGTAGCAGCCCAATTAGGGCTTGTGCTGGATTTAGCCTGCTTAGTTTCAAGCCACCATGTATCCCTCATCAACCCTGCAATAAGGTCTCATCACACAATAGCTGTCTGCTCTCTGCCTGACGACTTACTGCACCCATTTGCTTGTTAAGCCAACATATGTTCTTAAGGGAAAGGACGAAAAGAAAGAAAACAAGAAAGAAAGAGAGAGATAAATTGATAACACAAGTGAATGCCAACTTAAGGAAACTAATTAGGTAATAGAGAGGGACCATATGCACTGACTGCAGGTTTTGACAGTAACTGAAATATATTACAGCGATACAACTGTCAGAGTTCAATGAGTGTAGAACGTGAGGTGAAACCAAACAGGGCAGGGAGGGAGGGGAGGGGTTTGGGGTGGGGTGGGGAGTGAGGGAGGGGGCACACACATACGAAAAGAGGAGCGATGCGTCATGACACAGTGAGATGAGAGTGAAGCAGACCCAGAAAAAACACAGAAACAGGAACAGAACAACAGAGAAGAGAAAAAAAAAAACAGAAAAGCAACGTAAGAGCGAAAGAAACAAGAGTTGTTGTTTCGAGAAGGGAAATATTTGTTACATGCACCTCTATTTTACGGCCTTCTACCACCGTGCCGTGTAATTTCTCCCTCGCCCTGTCCGCATCAGCACTACTTTCGAAAGTTACGAAACCAAAACCCTGCATGCAGGTGGGAGAAGGGGGGAGAACAACATGCACATCATTAATTCAGTCAGAAAAAACGCCCCAGGACAAAAAAAAATAATAATAATAATAAAAGCCACTTGAGCTCTACCTCACTCCCATTCTCTTACACATTACTGCTGTTGCTGCTCTCTTTTACAGAGCTCCCTGCTCCTTTTATTTGCCCCTGCACCATGCAAGCATTGAGATGGGCAACCATTAAGCCAAAGGCGTGAACAGTATTATTTAAAATAAAATAAAATAAAATAAATAAAAAATTCAGTTAGAACCTCTAAGGAACACACGAAAAATGAAATGTCATCTCCAAAAACAAACCAAAACAGAAGCGGAAATAAAAGAGAGAATACCTTTATAACAGTTCATAACAGAGGAAATTAAACGTACTGAAAGAAAACAATAAAATAAAGGCTGTAAATCAACCAAACGTCATAGGACAAATGATAAAGTGAACTACAGCACTTGTTAGCATGCATCATTATCATTATCTCCCCCAGCTGGAACAGGAGAACATAATTCATATTCGAATAAAGAAAACAGTTTCTGGCGCTAAATGCCAAAACTCTGTCGATTAAGCCGTTCATTAGGGGATGCTCTTCGTGCTGCACTGGGGATACGTGACTTATGATTTCAGAGAACATTTCAGATGTAATTTTTTAACTGCTCAGCCTCTGATTCATCAAACACTAGAGGAATGACGTATGTGTATGTGTTTGAAGAGGGAGTTAACAGCAGACCTACAGCAGCTGATGTGCAATAAAGCTACTCAGATAAAAACACACTGAACATTGCAGTCATTTTAATGAATTTAGAGATATATAGCTTTCATAATAGACAGATAAATAACACACTCTTAATTTTATTCTCATCAATACAGCATTTTAATAGTAGGGGAGAGCTGGGCACAACCCAAAGTGGGGTAAAATGTAGTTAAACAGGCTAAACGGAGACTGTATTTGTATCATACAAGTAGATTTTCGCTGCTGTCTGGACAAAAACCCATATCTCTGTTTTTGTTGTTTTTCAGTTTTTGACATAATTCGAAAATGCCTGTTGCCCTTTAAATTGTGTGCAAATTTCATGATGAATAGACGAAAAGAAACGGCCAAAAATGACTTGGAAAAAAGTCTGGTTCCATTGACTTACATTAAAAGTAAAGAAGGATTTTTCCTTTTCCATCTTGGAGATTTTTGTTCCGACAGCAGCTTTTTTTATTGTAAGCTTTTTCAGTCACACTTTTTTTGGATGGTCCTCTATAAATGCTCTACAGATACTCAAACTTCATGTTCAATTGATTATCAACAACATTATGGGTAGGGTTAGGGTTAGGAGTGGATGCAGGTTTTGCCTTGAGGTTAAGTTTAGGTTTAGTGTTAAGATAGATTTCACACTGAACTTGAAGTTCAGTTGCATTTAATGGATATTTAGTTGAATGTTACTTAACTCTTAAGTGGTGTTGATGTGTTTGTTACTCAGTGGTCTGCTGGACCCACTGCATTATTGTTTTTTGAATCAATACAGCCATAACAGTTTATGTAAAAATACCAGATGTTTAAAATATCAGAAGGGTTCTCCTTTAGCAGCTGTAGCCAGTCAGCAGTCCATGTTGTCTACCCTCACACACACACACACACACACACTAAATGTGTGGGGGGTGAACAGAGTGAAGACACTGAAAATGGGCTATTTTATATGGTCTTCACAGAAAATCAGCAAAGACCAAGAATCTGAGGTTGAAATAATAATAAATCACAACATTTTTTCTTTTGGTAAACATTGAAAATGGGGCCCACAGACCTGAACACCACACAAGGGTTAAAGACAGACTCAGCATTTACAAAGCGTCTACAGTTGACCATCCAAATGAAGTGTTACCGCTTTTTCTATTACTGAATTGTGTGTAAAAGTCACAGAATTCACTCCTATACTTTTTTAATCTCCCACTCAGTGGCTGTAATTATTACAACCAAGAACTCCAAAGAAAACAATGAAAAAACTGCATCTCCCAATATCGACTCAGTTTTTAGATTCTTTTATGTGCAAATTCAGCAAAAATATACTGTTGATGCATTTTAAATAAAACATATTTACGTTTTATTATTGCTGTTAATATATTTATGTGTTTAGATTGTAAACCTCATTCAAAAAATATAAAATTATAACGAATTAATTGTGTTAGTCTCAATAAACCCTGCTTACGGGATAAATGATAACATTTTCACTCGCGCCACTTTTGGCCGAATTGTTCATAAACGACAGGAGCTTGAAACAGCCAAAAGTTTACGTTCTCATTTGTATTAGAGACGTGTAGGTTGCTTGCGTAGAGCATTAATAACTGTGCTCAAATGCTTTTCACATACTTGATTAAGCAAAAAACGATGTGTTAGGTTGTGCCCTGTTCTCTCCTACTGTGCATTTAACTATATATGATATCATATATATGAGAAGACATGCAGAGGAAAGAGATTTGTGTACATACCTTAGATCCTCTCTCATTAAAAATGATCTCAACATCTAAGATTTTACCAAATTGCTGGAAAGAAAACAGAAACATGAGTCAGAATTAGCATTTCTGTTTTATAGTTAAAACAGAAGCTAAAATTCAAAGCTGTTCAAAGGGCCACATTAAAAAATCTCGACAAAGCTGTGGGCCAGAGAACGGCTATGTTTTTATTTCATATTTAATTAAATGGCATATAGTGCTGAACTGGCCATTGTTTATTCAAAATACGCAATAACTTCAACAGTAAAACACAGACACTTGTAGTAGACCTTGAAATATTACATGAATACTTGAAATATTCAAAATTTAAATTCTGGATTTAAAGGAGCTCAGTCTTTTAAAGCTACCTATCTGCTTGAACTAGTCACCCGTCTTTCTTTCTTTGCTCCAAGTTCATTAATTCTTGGGCTCAATTTCTGAGCTGCTGAGCTGACGTTCAGTGTTTATACTGGCTGAAATGCAGCTAGTGTGTTTGGTGATATGACCGGTGTGGAATTGCGTATACTTGTGGTGGAACTGCCATCCAATAGATTGTTATTGTGTTAGGAGAGTCGGAGTGTGCATTACGCTGCAGTGCATGCTGGGGACTGTAGTGCAGCGCATTGTGAAACGGGCTAATATTAATAGTGTTTGACACAAATAATTATGATTATAATATTATAATCAATAATTATGTAATGTATATCACGTATAGCAACACAGCAATCATAAACCCCAGACTTTTACGGGTTAATTAAGTATCTAAGTTGCTCTTTATAAAAGGGGTCAATCAGTGTTAGTGCTAGGCAATGTATTGCTTATACCAGCACTGCTCTAAAAATAATATTTTTTTAATTTTAATGGATGCAAGGGACAGTTATAGGATTATGTCATGGGCCTTGTGTTTGACACATGGGCTGTAGCATATCATCAAAACTGCACAGAACACATATGAAAAGCTCCAATCAGGAAAACCAGAAACGAGCTTGCTAACATGATAAATGTACACTTGCAGAAACCTTTCTGGATACAAACGCTGTCACTGAGGTGGTATGTTTTCAGTGCCTTTAGATTCAGTCTCATATTCCATTGTGATTAAGTTTTATTCACTCCATACATCTTGTACTGACTCCAGGCTTTTTATTTATTTATTTTTATAAAGTTAAGATATGAAAATCTATAAATATGACCCTTTTCTTTAGGAAAGCGAATGTAGTGGAGCTTTAAAAGTCATTTAAGGTACATAATTGGACCTAAATGACCATTTTGTACATTTACATTGCTTCTGGGGACTAAAGTGTCCCTGTCCAGTGCCCTGTTATCTGTATGGTCTTGTGGTCAGTGTTATTTGAAAGCTTATGTTGCTGGAGTGCCAGGAAACAGCCTGCATGTGGCAGCAATATTCTTTTTTTTATTGTTGTTGTTACAGCATGTCAACCGTAACACAACTTAGATCGCTTATCTGAGGGTAAAAGTCTCTGAACTTCACATCCATTTTCAGACCAGCGCTTTTTTTCCCACTAAATAAGCCTCCACATCTTCTCTGGTGCAGCGATGGCACAGCAGCGTAGCCTCGCAGTACACAGGTGTACTAGATAACAGCTGCATTCAGGGACAGAGGGAGTGGAGGAGCTGACGCTTAAATAATAATAATAATATGAAATTTAGATTAAAACATACTGAGTGTGGTATAGACCAATGTGTGCTTGTTGTTTGGTATGGTTTGCATTTTTACTGTACACTCTTAAAAAAAGATGGTTCTTTAGTAAAGAAAACGGTTCTATATAGAACCATGAACACTCAAAGAACCCTTCGCATGATTAAAGGCTTCTTTGCATCATGGAAGGGTCCCTCAGATTGATGGTAAATGTGCTGTATACGGTTCTAAATAGAACCTTCTTGAAAAAAGGTTTTCCCTAGAACTTCCCTTTTCCCCTATTTTCAGCCTATTTTACTCGTTTTAGAATAATAGTGAAGAATAAAGCAAATCAATATGCAGCGATCATGAAAAATCAAGATGATTTGCCTTGAAATTTATGCCCCCTCTGCATTCTCTAGAACACTTCATGAAGGTCCACCTGGGTTCTTTTCCAACAGAGACTCTGCTGGCTGCTGAAAACTACGTTTTGGGGGGACAAAAATAATAACTGAAAACAATTAATTTTATAAGTAAATTCATACACAGGCATTGCCTGCACTATTTATATTTGTTCAGATCACAACTTCTCAAGCATTTATGCATAATGTTGGGTTTATGTTATCATGGAAGACGATGTCGGCAAACTAGATATTCCATGTTTCTGAATGGAGCCCTGCTGTGGTGAAGCCAGTACTGCAGCCGTCTAAACGTCTATAAAATAATGAAAAGCATAAATAAAGAGTGGCTAAAGTTTTGACTGATGGTGTATATCCTCAGATCTGTTGCTTGAACCAAATTTGAAGCATTTGGATCTCTATAAGTGGCATCTGTTTAATCCAGTGTAAATCTCGGAACAGAGAATGTGGGCACTTTGTAAACGGCCAATCACAATCGTGTTCACTTTTTTTTTCAGTTGTCGAATCAGAATTTAAGTCAGTCTCTTTTTTCCAATGACAGTTGGACCATTTTGTGTCCATTCCTGTTTGAAGAATTTAGGCTATGTTCACACTAAGCTAGTGAGCTTTTAGTGCTCATATAAACAAATTAAAAAAAAAAAAAAACTTTTTTTTTTTGAGCACACAAAAGTTTTTCCAACTCTTTACAACTTTCGAAAGCGGTCCACTCCGATGAAATATAAATGGCAGTGCTTTTTTGGGCTGCTTACCACAGGATTACAAGAACACGGCCTTATTTAGGTGCACACTTGGACATCAGCGCACATTCTCAGCATGTAATGGATTCAGTTTGGGGCGATTACTCTAATCAGAAATACTATCAATTCTATCTCAATATTTAATTATGTGCACAACTCTGAGTTTTTGCCATAAAGGAGTAGTGTTATGCTGTCACATATATATATATATATATATATATATATATATATATATATATATATATATACATAAATTAGTCTGTGTAAAATTTATATGCCAACCAGTTTCTGGCTGGGCCTATCAACGTATCTGGGCAGGCATGGCCCCCTGAGGCCCACCCAGAGACCCAGAGCCAGGGGCCTGTATATTCAGCTCAAATCTTCAGCACCCACAATTCCTGCGTCCCTGCCTGCACTGAGACATGTACAAGGTGGAAGAGCAGATACTCACGCCAAACATTTGCCTGAGGTCTGGATCTCTGAACCTGAAAGGGATGTTGGAGACGTGAAGCCGCTTCGGCTGCGTCTTGTTTTCCGTGTTTTCGGATGACTGTGTCTGTTGCTGGCTGTCTGTCTGTGCTGCGTCGTCTGTCTGCTGAGGGAAAGAGAGAGAGAGAGGGAGAGAGAGGGAGAGAGAGAGAGAGGGAGAGAGAATATATGAATATTCCATTTGAAACCTGTTTTGAAAATATGAATCTCTCAGAAATATTTTAATCGATTTGAAAAACAGATACATAACTTCAGGACGCTGGGAGACAAAGAGAAATGACTGATTATATTGGGAGAAGGTCCATTAGCGTCCACTGCAGCAAGATATGTCATAGACTCTGGAACAGTGAGTGACCACCACACTACAACCTTTTCTTTTACTCACTGTTATGTATGTATATATGTAATATAAATGTGTTGTTTTTCCTTTTCTTCCTTCTCTTCTTAATTACAGAAATATGTTTGATGATTAACTTTTTTCTCTTTTATTATATACTGCATACACATATCAAACAGGCTTTGTTTTATTATTGTATATACTTTTATATTATTCACTAATAATTAACACTTTCTCTTCTTAATTATTGTATTGTTATACATTAATCTTGTTTTGTATTTTGTTTTTTATTAACATTTAATATATAGATCATTTTTGAAGTGCTTTGACAAAACAAATGTAAATATGTCATGTCAATAAAGAAAACTTGAAATAGACTGAGAGAGAGAGAGAGAGAAAGAGAGAGAGAGAGAGAGAGAGAGAGAGAGAGAGAGAGAGACAGAGAGAGACAGAGCTGAACTCCACAGACTCAATCGTACTCCGTCTTCTGTGCTCATGCCTTCTGAGTCGGTGCTGTTTTGAGTCAGATCCCGCATGGTGTTTACACCCTGAAACAACTCCTACATTTAGCTCTTTCTGACTCGTAGCTCATTGAAACGAGTGGAGAAATTGTGCAGAAAGCGCAGATTCTAAACTTTCAATTCATACCACAATTGTGTCTGTAAGGTGAAACTTTCATGCAACCAGTAGCACGCTCCTTTTCGAGCATCTTCTGTTTTCTTTTCTTGTCCACTGATCTGGTAAAATGAACAGTTTGTATGTGGTTCACGATGTGTTACTGCAGTTGTAATTGGCTGTTTCATGAAACTTGTTTCACAAAGTTGAGACGCTTGCAACCGTTGCGGAAGAGTTTCAAGTGAGTTGCAGGATGTTTTACATCATGCAACTCGGGTGCAATTTAGTTTCACGCAGGTTTCAAGCAATTAAAATTGCATGACTGTTTCGGCATGTACAGCGAGCATAAGCCAGGGAAGAGATATTGTATTATGATTTGAATTTGATGAAAAAGTTACTGTGTTTACATAAAATGTCTTGTTTTTCATTTAAAAAATTACATTTTTTCCACGTTTTGGTCATTTTTAAACACGAAAAGAAACAGGAAAAGTCAGAAGCGCAGACTCGAAACCTGTCGATACAGAACGAAAGTCGAATAAAAATGTAGTTCACACAATTATGTAATTATATAGATTAATTTCAACAATTATCTATTGTATATCACACGTATAGCAACACAGCAATCATAAACCCAGACCTTTAAGGGTTAATTAAGCATCTAAGTTGCTCTTTATAAAAGGGGTCAATCAGTGTTAGCGCCAGGCAACGTATTGCTTATACCAGTACTGCTCTAAAAATAATATTGTAAAAATTTGAATGGGATTCAAGGGACAGTTATTTAGTAAAACCTAAATAAATCATATGTTTCCTTTTCTCTGAGTGTCTGCAGGCATCCCCAAATTAAATGTACTGCTTTTAAAGCTTTAACACTGCTATAAATATAATTTAAGTGACCATATACCAAATGAAAACACCCACTTTCTGTATTATAAATAAAACACATCTGTATTCTAAAATCTGAGACCAGTTTAACAGATATTAAGGCACTTAATCTGTAGGATGTAATTTCAGACAAATTAAGGCCTTCTGAGCTCCTCGTAAGTGCCGCCTGGTTTCTGCAAATGTGCTTTCTGTCTAATTTGACCTTTACAGTTCCGTGCGAGGTTCCCTTCGGTGTCATTTCTAGAGAAGAAAATGGAACAAAACAGTCCAATCAGAAATAAGCCGTGTCAGCTTTGTAGGACGTTCTTTTAACAGAGCCTCAGCGCTCAGGAAGCTTCCGCTCATTAACTGTAAGACTTAAATATCCCCTCTTATAGGTGTACGTTTGGAAAATACTGGAATACTGAATTTTATCAACAGCACTCCAGTCAGTTCCAGTCAGTGTTGTAGAGTAAGTCCTCCCTGTGCCTTTCCCTCCATGAGGCCCAGTGGAGCCCGGCTCCATTCTAACACTACAGTCAGTGGAAGTTTCTCTTTACCACCTGCTCGATCTGCTGCTCCTGAGTCCTGAGTCCCTCCACACACACACAGCAATATGAAAAACACATGTAGAACACACACACACACACACACACACACACACACACACACTGAAAGTACACTGTGTGCGTCTATGGTAGCGTGTGTGTGTGTGATGGCGGGGCTGGGACAACAGAGGGAGGCTGCGGGGGAAAATTGACATAACTACCTCCATCTCAACCATAACTACCCCTCTCTCTCTCTCTCTCTCTATCTCTCTCTCCCTGCATCTCTTTCTCACTCTGCATCTGTCTCCTACTTTCCCACTCAGACTCTTCTCCATCTCTGTACTCTGTACTCTCTCTCTCTCTCTCTCTCTCTCTCTCTCACACTTCCTTCTCTCTGACTGTATTCTCTCTTTCTGACTCTCTCTCTCTCTCGCTCTTTCTCACTAAGACTCTCAGTCCTCTCTCTCTCACTACCCTTATGTCTCTCTCACTCTCTGTCTCTCACTAAGACTTTCACTTGCTCTTCACTCTGTCCTCACTCACTCTTTTCTCTCTCTCTCTCTCTCTCTCTCTCTCTATCTCTCTCTCACACTCTCTCTCTCCCTCCAAGACAATTCAAATCAAATCAAATATGCTTTATTGGCACGACAGGATATGAGAGCTATGTTGCCAAAGCTGTAAAATACATGTTAAATTGAATTATTATTAAAATATAAATGAATAAAAATAAATTAATGAATAACACTACTACTACTACTAATAATAATACTAATACTACTAACAATAATAATAATAATACATTAATTAAACAAAAGTGCATATGGATAAATGATTTAAACAAAGCTATAAAGTTTGAAATATAAATATGTTAGTACACATAAGCATAGAATGAATACGGACATGCCAAACGTAATAAAATCAAATCAAATCAAATAAAATAGAATAAAGTAAAATACTACCACTACTACTATTAATAATAATAAAAATAAAACAAACAATAAAGTTCATATGAAAAATGTAATACATTTGAACATCGGGAATTAGAAATATTAATTACATAACTAAAGATATGCTGTGTTATGTTTTCTCTGATCTTTTCGCAGTTCTGAATTAATTGTCCTGCTTAGAAACTTATTGTTTCTACATTTTCTCCCAGCAAATTCTTTCTCTCTCACTGAGACTCCTGTCTATCTATCTATGACTCTTTACTCTCTCTCTCTCTCAGCCTTTTCTCTCACACTATCATTGTCTCTCTCTCACACTAAGCCTCCTCTTTCTCTCACTCTTCACTCTCTCTCGCTCAGTCTCTTCTCTCTCTCTCACTCAGTCTCTTCTCTCTCTCTGTCCCTCTTACTCATTATCCTTCTCTCTCTCTCTCTCTCTCTCTCAGTAAGACTCTCTCTCACACTCAGTCCCCTCTCTCTGTCTCTCTCTCACTAAGACTCTTCTCTCTCTCTCTCTCAGTCCCCTCTCTCTGTCTCTCTTTCACTAAGACTCTTTTCTCTCTCTCTCTCAGTCCCTCTCTCTCACTATCCTTATATCTCTCTGTCTCACTAAGACTCTTGCGTGGATCAGGTGGACCAGCTCAGCAGGACAGGAGGGACCACCATGGTCATGGTTAACAACTTGTGACAAAATCTGATTTGTCTGATTAGTTACATATGGGGCCAGTGGACTCTCAATCCACAGGTTCAGCAACTTTAATGGCCAAAATAAGAAATGGTGTGTCTAGCCCAGGGGTCGCAACCCAAATGTTAAGGAGAGCCATTTGGTCCTTTCAACAAAAATCAAACCATCTTGGGAAGCCTCAACATTTATGTCCATTTTACCATCTTGGCTGTAAATATGTTTCAGTATGTGCTGATGTGCCACTATAGACTAAAAAATATAATATAAACGAAAACTCAGACTTATTTTGCTCTGCTTTAATCTTCAGCTCAGCTGTAGCCACTTTTCTCGCATCTTCAGTAGGAAATTTTTCTGCAAAAGTAGAACAGTTTCTTGTAAAATGTCACTGAGTGTTTTTTTTTTTGCAAAGCTGAAGTCGCTTCTCACTCACCAGCTTCTTGTTTGAATTTTCCCGCTTCACCTTAAAAGGTGCCTAATGTAACTGCTGCGCCATTTAAGGTGGAACGGGAAAATTCGAACAAAAGGCTGGCGAAAGAGAAGCGACTTCAGCTTTGTACCTTCAGTGACATTTTACAAGAAATTATTCTACTTTTGCAGAAATATTTCCTGTTTTGTGTGCGCTGCTATGGTGACCAGCAGTGCGTGTGCCGATCTTCAGGGTTAAAGGGTGAATTAGCAGTTCTACATTAACTCCAGAGTTTAAGACCATTTATTGTTAAACTGTGTTGAACGATCAGCAGAGCTTTATTTTACTGTAAAGGAGGATTATTTTATTTTTACCTACAAATCTAATTCTGCTGTGGAGCCACAACAGGGCAGTAGAAGAGCCGCATGCTGGCAACCCCTGATCTAGAGGCACCGGCCTATAGTTAACCCTCCGTGTCGAATCCTGCATGCATGCAGTTCTGCATTAAAACAAGCAGCCAAGGAGCTGAGAGTGTGAGCGTGTGGTCTGTGCATGTGTTGGTATGCGAGTGCGAGTGTGTGGTATTATCACGGGGAGCGCTCTGGGCGATTCTGACAACAGCCACAACAGCGTCATTCATATAGCCGCGCTGGAACGGAGAAAAAATGACTGGCTGCCTGCTTGAATATGTAGATCACGTCATCATAATG